AATGTGTTTTTATAACTGTTTTGGCTTGCCATTTTCATTGCGGTTTTCACCGCCATGGTGCGGTTTTCGCCGCCATGTTTTCATGGCTCTAAAATGCGGTTTTCACCGCCATGTTTTCACCGCCTTATAATGCGGTTTCACCGCCATGGTGCGGTTTTCACCGCCATGGTGCGGTTTTCAACGCCATGCGGTTCTCAAATATCGCGCCGCCCTGAAAGGATTGGCTCTGCAGGTTTGGGGTTTGGAGCCATGACACTGGCCGCCTTGCAGAAGGCGCTCACAGCGACGGACAAGTTCTGTCGAATGTTCGCCACCTTTCCAACGCTGCTGCATTGGAGGAGAAGCAGCAAGCGCAATTGTTGAAGATCATGGAGACGGTGAGTTTCACTGTGGAGGATGCAGCAGTTGTCTCTTCCCAGGTCAGCAGCACATGCTTGTCTCAGTCCACAAAAGATACTTTGATGTCGTGTTTGACTGCGAAAGTGGATGGAGATGACTTCCATCTGCCCTCCGAGTCGAAAAGCAGAAGGGCCAACATGCAGGACTGGACAAGCCTTGTTTATTACCTGTGCGAAAGTCATTGGTCTCTCCTTTTGGGAGATTGTCATCATGGGCGGTGTGAGCGCGCACTGGCTTCATTGGCAAGGCATCTATCCAATATGGGTTTGTGGGCACCAAGTGAGAAGACAATAGCTGTGGTGGTTGCTTTGGTCTACTGGGGTGATTGGTCCAAAACCCTCAGCGATGGTCAGGCTTTGGTTCTCCAAGAGCAAGGGCATGCGTTGAAGGCTTCCAAACCCTTGTTCAAGAAGTATTTGCACAGTGGGGGCGGAAAGCCACCCAAGACTTTGTTGGAAGATCTCCCTTCTGACCCTATGGAATTCTCAGACTACAAGAGGGTCTTTGCAAAGGAGGAGCCCATCAAGCCACCGATTGACACGGATTTGTTTTTCTCCACAGTAGCGTCCATGCGTGGGCGGATGGCCAGCTCGACTTCCAGCACACCAACCGCCAGCTATGGGTCAGGAAATGGCGTGCAGGCTTCGCAATGGCAGTGGTGAGGTCTTGGCTTTACAACACGACCGTTTACTGAGTTGCGGCCCCGAGATGTCTTGGTCGAAGTGGAGCAATGGGAACCGTGCAGTCTTGATTCCTGTCGAGATTGTAATGCACATGGTCGCTGTCTCTTTCGCACGCGCAGACGATGGCCAAATCTACCTTCTCTGATAGCGCGTGACAGAAACAAGGAGATGCCTCTACAGGGTTCTGTTGTTACATGAAAGTGCGGTGTTCACCGCTTTGCACTGAGCAGGTTGGTCTCAGCGAGCGGCAACGATTTTCTAAAAATATATTGAAAATAGGCAATTTTTATTGGGTTTTCAAAAAAAGTTGAAGGGTTTTCAAACAAAAAATTGAAGCTATTATTGGAAGTTATTTCGAACTTATTTCAAGGTTATTTTGGTTGTTTTCTTAAGTTCTATAACTTCCGAATAAGTTAGTTGCAAGTGCCACAACTCAAAAGGCACACCCAAGCATGAGTGGGGAGCGAACCACGAGGCGGCTTCTGAGCACCTGCCTTCGCAGCAGCTCGGGCTGTACTCATCGCCACCGAAGGGGCGTCAATGTCCAAGGCTCCAGCTGCCGAGGGATCACCTGCCGCCTGCGTAGCTGCCGCCTTCACGCTGGCAGCAAGCTCTAGCGGGGTCGCCGTTCCCTGTTGATGGCGCGTCTGTTGGCCGGGTCCCCCCGTTCGTGCATGGGCGAAGGCCAATCCGACCTGCTCTGTAGCCGCTTCCGCGTAGTTGAACCCCGGATTCCTGGCGTTGTACCTCTTGCTGTCCTCGCGGTATTCGGATCCCGGTGCCGCCAACAGCGTCACAGTGTTGGCCCTCACTTGGGCACCGAGCGGCTCCTGCGGCTGGCGTACCCTGAAGTGCCATGTCAGGATCGGGCGGATTGGTCGCGGTGCGGGTGCGTAGAGAAGCAAATAGGTATTCTTGAGCCAAAATGGCTACGGAGACCCCAGCCGATGGGGGAGCGCGTCAGAGAACTTTGCTACATCCGGCTGCGTGCAGTGGCAGCGAGGACACGACTCAACGATGGACACCGGACGGATATCGTTGCGCCGGAGGAGCTGCAAGTATTCAGGTCATGTGCATGCTTGCAACATTTTAGGTGTAGCTTAGTTGTAATAGCCAGAGATGGCTTTGGTTGGGGGCGCAGACTGCTGTCAAAGCGACGTTTGGAACCGAGAGAGCAGCTCTGAGGACGAAGTTTTGATCGTTTTTGGCGCGGAATTAGATGTGGAAAGCTGTGGTGAGGGGGATCACTGGGAGCAGGTGTCTAACGCATCCACGGTGGAGCTATCCAAATCCGAACCAGCTGGCCTGCGTGGTGGTGGTCAGGCGAATCATCGTCGCCGACGCATTCCGAGATGATTCGGATTGTTCCCTCCTTCGCCACCCCCCGGGACTGCGCGACGTGCTGTCCCTCTGGCGTGCCGTTGCCTTCCTGGTAGATCTCCGACAAAGTCTGCTGCAGGGGTCGCAAGAGGCACATCTTGATGTCGAAGTACGAGCCCCCATCTTTGCAGAGCCGGAGGTAGCGCCATACATCGGCGCGATGAAGGTGTCTAGGATCGACCCTGCTCGCTTGGCCTTCATGGTCAAAGCGCCGCCGCAAACATGTCAAGCTTTGCGGGGGCCACACCTGCGAACGTCAGCTGCAGGACCTCCCACCCATCTTCTCCCCTCACTTGCAACTTCTTGGTCCACTCCTCCTCCGAGTGCCGCAAGCGCTGAAGCCACACCCAAAGAACTTCTTTGCTTCGGGTGCATGCCACACACCGACGGCCCAACTCCAGCTGCTGTCCTTCTGGAGCCACATCGTCTGGCTTCCTGGCCTGCAAAGCCAGGTAGTGCACCTTTGCCAGTGTGTAGCCTTGGGCAGTCTCGGGAGTCAACAGGTGAATATTCTCCAAGTCATGCTCCAATTCCAGGTAGCCGGCCACCCACCGGAGATGAGCAGATGAGCACGAAATTGCAACAAGACAGGTGCATAGTATGCAATCACTCCAACCTCTTGCTGCCTGTCATGAAACAGCATATCCAAGCAGACCGTCGTAAAGACAGACCACTCAAAGTTGTGAGAAATGGTCGACTGCAAAACCTTATGCAGCGGCAACTCCACCCACTTGCCACAACCACGACCGCGGCTTTCGCCCCCCAGCCCCCTGACTTGACGACCCTGGCCGGCTGTCGGGCGTAAGCCCTTAAATATACATGGTATGATATAGTATTGAATTTATCATGACTTTCGGGCACATATAATGACATACAGTGATAATACTATTGAATTAACCTGTAGTTTCAACATTGAAAACGGCTATATGTATATGCCTGTACATATATATACTATTTGATATTAAATGGTTATGCTGGAAAATGAATGAACTCGTGTTTGATAAACACTTATTTTCTTGGATTGATCTGCTACACACTCAAACACAACACAGACGGGAAGGCCCAAAAGCCACAAAAGTCCAAACGAAAAGAATAATAGAGAAGGGATGATGTTAAAACTGCAGTTGTACGCACAAATCACCAATAAACTATGCAAGGATATGAAGGCAATCGTCTACCGAGTCACACAGTAAGCACCTCAACTTGATGTGTGCAAGGTCCTTGACGTGTCAGCAGGTCATGATGCAATGGTACCGTTTGCCCTGGCAACCGAGAGCACATATATAAGACGACGCGCATGAGAGCACATATTCATTTGAAGCACATGCAGCACATTATGAAAATAAAAATCTACGTCGAACCGTATCAAGTACAGCGCCTGCCCAACAATCTACACTTCAAGGTGCACAAAGCGCTGCGCCTGCCACGACATATGCACACCAATGTCCACAAAATGATGCACCTGTGACAAAAAATATCTCCACGTCAAGAACTACCAGTTCACAAGTTGCTGCGCGTGACACGAACTCCGCACTTCAAGGATCACAAGCTACTGCGCCTGCCATGAAATTTGCATTTCACGGTCACAACGTGCTGCGCCTGCCACGAAGTCTTGACATCAAGGGTCACTCAATGCTGCGTCTGCTGCGAAATCTGCACTTTGAGGCTCGCGCCACGAAACAAGCCCACGAGATCTGCACATCAAGATTGACAACTTAAGTGCTGGTCTTCCACAAAATCTGCAAGACAACATCAAAATGCCACCAAAACATGAGGTTTCCCTTGCGCCTGCCATGAAGTGACCACCAAGTCCGACAATGCGCACGGCACCAAGTCGAAGAAAGCGCAGAGTTCGAGTCGGCACCCTCTTGGGCCCAGCAGTTTCTGCGAACCTGCTTAGTCAAAATGCACGTCGAAGATTTCGAGTTGAATCAACGCACCGTAAATAGCAGCGAATTAGCCGGACGCTGATGGAGCACATCCTTACCATAACAACCTCTAGTGTAGCCACACTGTTTGGGGAACGAAATGGAGGTTGGTTCCCAAGCAACTTTTCATATACTGTACTGCTGATGGTTGATGAAAAACTCATAAATGAAGATGTAGAGCTCAAGGCCTTTTCTATTCATCAACACTCAACAGCAAATTAGGTGTCCAACACGATCGAACATGATGCCTTATATGAGGCAAACCCACCTATTCGAGGCATGACTAAGAGCATAGTGTACATCTGACATGAAGCAAAAATGCTCTTCCCCAAGCATCCATCGTGGAAACAATCTACCACCCACAATTACAATTACGGGTCCACAGGAAACCTCAACCCCACACACGGGTCCACAGGAAACCTCCTTAGATGCTGGGGCGAAGTCGTCTCTAGTTGTAGTCCTAAATCACATGAACACCTTGGACCTAAAACCAAAAACAGCTCAGGCTGTTTATCGGACCATGGTCCGGGGACCAAGCAGCTGGTACACCGAAGGACCTTCCAACAGCTCTCCAGAGCCCCCAAAAACAAGCTCTCTGGGCTGTCGGAACGTGACGCCCAAGGCATTGCCCCCTCAGCTGTCGGTCGGCCAGGTCGGCGTCCAAAGCGGGAGCCCGGTTGACTCTTTCGGGTAGCTTCACCGTGCCAGTGGTCTGTTTTACCTGGTTTTGATCCGCCTTCAGAGACCAGACCAGTCCTCTTCGAAAAAAAAGCGACACAAAGTGAATCTGGGCACAAGATTCGCTCCGGTCGAACCCAAGGCCCAGCGCATCCAAGGGTGCCCTGGAATATGAGTCATACCTGGACCATCCTGTCGGGGTGCCCTGTCTGGAAGCCTTTTGTGTGGGACTACCTCCAGCCAGGACACCCTGGTATATGATATACCTCGAAAGGCGGGTGAACAGTTTAGGGCTCACCTCCCTTATTTTCCACAACCGGTGAAGGCGTTCAGAAACCTCGTAGAAGGTAGACCTATTTTGGAATACCTTAGCAACTTTTCGGGCTTAGCCGCTATCGGGCTTTTGGTTTCATACATGCTCATGCTCCACTCATGCAGGTGGACCGTCGCACCCATGCAGGTGCCGGTAGAGCTTTCGTGTCTATGAAACAACTTTGGCCTCCCTGCAGAGGTCCAAAATGGTCTACAATCAA